AGAGGTTTGGATCATCTGGACAGAGGAGGGAATTATTTCAGCCTGTCGGAGTCGATCCAGATCTGACTGTTCATGAGCAAAAAATGGTGAAGATGGGACATTTTCCTCTTACTATTAGTTATCAAAAATGTATCTGATCTAATCAAGATCCTTGTGGATCGGCAGGCTTGGAGCGCGAGGCGTGATCTCAAAGAAAAACCTGGAGTGTCAGATGACAGCCACGTATCCATGAAGCCTAAAACACCCAGAACAGAGTTATTATACTTCCTCATCATTCTAGTCAGCTTCCAGAGAGGATTCAGTTTAAGTTTGATTCTTTCATTTATTTATTGAGGGTATTTGTCAGACGTCAGGTTTCAGAAGTTCAGAGTCAACATCTGCTCCACAAAAACTCAAACTGGAGACGTTTTCTCTGCATTTTATTTGATTGTAGTTCGTTTTTCAAGCACATCTTATTGTTTCAGATTTTTAAATCTTTATTTGGTTTTCCAGTTGTCTTTTTCTATAAAGATGACGTAGGTTCAGATATAACCGATTACATATATGTGGAAAAAGTTAAACAGAATGAAATCCATCTATAGGATATCTGTAGGACTACACGTGGAGCTCAGCGGCCGTTTTTTTAGCCTAGTTTTAGTTCACTGGAGCAGCCTCAATCCAGAACTCTGTTTTAATTTTCAGAGATATTTATGAATATCCATGAAGAATCCACCGACTGTCAAACTGTTCACTCGCAGAGAATTTCACAGAGTTTTTTAGAAAACAGGAAACCAGCTGCTTTAGAGGAAAAAGAAACGATTCTCCTCCCTCTAAACAGAGCTGCTGCTGCCCCACTATCAGCCCCCTGTTATTAAACCCACAGCGGTCACGCCTCCTTCCTGCAGGTCATCATTGATCTGAACTCCAGGGGGATCAGATAAGTCCAGGTCGAACCCCAGGTCACAGAGCCAGCCCTCCTGCGGGGACAAAGACCACTCTGTGGGTCCCCCCTGTCAGGACCCCACCTGTGCTAAAGCCTGAAATACCTGCATGGAAAAAAACCACGATAAGCTCCTGCTCAGGTATCACCTGATAGCCAATAAGAGCTGACCTGAACAGGATAAAGGTACCCCCCACCCCCCAGCCCCAGAGAGATAAACAGTTTTTGGAGCTCAGAGTTTATTCTGTTAGACAACAAGCATTAAAAAGGGTTCCTGCCCACCGAGGTGCGTCTCACTCCTGAACGTGGCACCGAGTTTAATGCTCACTGAACAAACCAGAAATCCCACAAATAAGGTAAGAGTTTCTTTGCTGTTTAAATCTGTCTTTGGTTTGGTCAGAGTGTGTGCATGTGTGCATACACAGTATCAAACAGCACAGCTATAAAGTAAGGACGTATGAGTGTAACAGGCAAGGATAACGTTCATGTTAAGTCTTCAAAGCGCTCAACTTATCATTGCGTAACGTTGCCTCTGATCACTGGATATGTGAGACAGCTTAAAAATCAGTGCTGCAGCCCCTCTGGCCTTCAGCCTCTGACAGCTATCACAGCTAACAGAGGCTGATATTATTGAGCATTTTCACTCTGTAGTCAGAGACTAACTGATGGGTCTTTAGCTTTACACTGCACAGAATGTAAAGAGGTAATATCAAGGAAATGTTAAAGAAACTGAGAAGTTTCGTACGCTCATCATGAGCATGAATGTCATGGTGGATTGACTGTACACGGACGCTGTCCATCTGATCTGACTGAGCTGGAGCTGTTTTGCAAAGAAGAATGGGCAAAGATTTCAGTCTGTAGATGTGCAAAGCTGGTGGAGACAGACCCTAAAAGACTGGCAGCTGGAACTGCAGCAAAAGCTGGTTCTACAAAGTATTGACTCAGGGCTGAATAATTACGCACACCCCACTTTGCAGTTATTTCTTTGTAAAAAATGTTTGGAATCATGTCTGATTTTGGTTCCACTTCTCACGTGTGCACCACTTTGTGTTGGTCTTTCACGTGGAATTCCACTAAAATTGATTCATGTTTGTGGCTGTAATGTGGCAAAATGTGGAAAAGTTCAAGGGGACTGAATACTTTTGCAAGCCACTGTAACTCAGTGTTTGTCTCATTTGACCATAAAACATGCAGCTGAAAATTCATGGAGGCTTCTTTCTTGGTCAGCACGCTCTCGGTCCATGGCGATGTAAATCTCGCTTGAGCCTTGGTTAGTTCCTGAACATCCAGACTCTCATCTGAGGGTGACAGGGTGTTCTTCCAGATGTTGGCAAAGTGGTGAAACATCAAAATACGAGAGAAACTGCCAGTCGTAGTTAATCAGGATCACACGAGAAGTTAATAGACGTTGGCATTGTAAAGTCTATTTCAATGTCAAGACATTGTAGAACCTTTAGAATCACTTATTAAAAGGTTTAAGTGAGTGTACGGATTTTTCCTAATCCAAACAAAATACATTTAAACCCAGTCCTTGATTATTTTTTAGTGCAGTAAAGTTATATGCTGTGCAACCTTTCCACCAAAGACATTCGTGCTCATGATGAGTGTATATAAACCACAAACTATTTATTCCTGTTTCTTTAAAATTATAATCTGTGTAATGATGTGAAAATTTTCTGTGGATTTCTTTTATACAACCTGCATGAAAGAATTTTTAAAAAAAGTCAGATTAGCCTTTTGTAGTCCATCTTCAGGACTTTGTAGTTTCATCATGGCAGACCCACCTCAGCAAACCACACAGTTCTTTTCCTGAGTCCTTAAACTCTTCTTCACATCCCTCCACGCTGCCCTGGAGGTCATGTGACCAGTGAGACAGCAAATTTGGCTTTAGTGCAGAAAACATCATATATATAAATCAAGTGAAATAAATCAAGTCAAGTCCAGTCTTAAAGCCAACAATGAAGTTATCCTGACATATTTACAGGAAGTGTGCTCACTAATCCCCTCAAAGACATAAACATCTGATTTTACTCAGTAAACTAAATGAGAGTACTGATAACAAAAACATGTTTGCTAGCTAAAACCTCAAACACAAATCTACATGTAAATATTTTTGCCTCATTTTCAAATGAATCCGTCCGACTTAATACTAGAGGAAACATTTAATTGCTTAAATAAAGATGAATTAAAGTTTTAAGGGAACAGGATCCGATGCAAAAGTAAACTACAGCAGCTTTTCCTATGAAATATTTCCTGGATTGCACGGTACCTATCAGCATGCAGCATTCGTTGTTTTTCTGCTGCAGAATCCTTCATCATTGTTGTTGCTCTATTGATATCACTCCATAGATCATAAAAAAAGACTCGTCAGTGTCATCTGGATCCATTAATGTGCAGAGCTTTGAGGTCCCATTAAAGATTAAATATAAGTGCAATAATGAGACAGCTGACCTCCTGAGAGGCACTGATCACTTCCCTGCTCTTGGTGAAAAATGCTTGAGGCTTTAATAACGTTAATGAAACACTTCTTCACCTCATCGAGCAGACGGGAGCCACAGGTGAGCCGAACCGTTTGAAGCTGTTAGAAACATTGAAGTACTGAGCAGAGAAGGTGGAGAAGGGTCATCGTCCTTGTTTTTGTGTAGGAGTCAGCGCTGTAATGGCTGATGTCAGAGTATTTTCAGATGTTACATATTTGTTAAAACGCGTGACCTCTGTGGTGCTGTCTGATGACTTTGTTGCTGTGCTTTGGTCGATGATCCTCACCTTTGAGCGTTTGCAGGAATCACAGCGTTGTTGCTGCTGAGAGCAGCGGCTCAGTAAGCTTCAAACTGTGACCTCTTCTGGTTTTGCAGAGAATTACAGCAACATGCAAATCAGAATATGAAATTTACATTTACCATTTATTCAAGTCTGTTTCAGGAAGCAAGATCGGGGATGAGTGTAGTAATCTCAAATTCCCCAGAAACAAGCTGGGATGCTTACACTGACTCTGCACATGCTCAGTATGATACCCGTATATAAAAGATGCCCACTATGAAATATCAAATTTGTTTTGTATCTTCAGTGTTGTTAAAATGTTGGTATTTTGGAGGGAGAAGTGACCATATTTGCCTCAGAGTGGAGTGCTACTTTATCAGCTAATGCTAGCTAGCTTAGCTCGCAGTGTCTAGCTAGACCCGTTACTGGTTACCAAAGTAATAAAACAGTCTACTGGATGTAGCATACAACATTACAAGTACACCGACAGTTGAAATATGGTGGCGAAATCTGGTCCAGTGATTCAAAGTAGTGTGAGTGAGGCCTAGCACACAGCTAGCAGCTGCAAGTGTCCAGTGATACCTGTCAATCAACGTGGCCACACCCCTAAACTTAAACCTTACCAGCATCCAAATAAATAGGTTGGCATAAATGTCACCCTGTACAGGTACAGATGTTACGAAGGGTTAAACTACCCACAGAAACCGAAACTGTTTTTGAACCAGGCCGTTTATTTCTGTTCTGAACGCTGGAAACACTTTTGAAGCCAGCCTCTAGTGGACATAAGAGGGACTGCAGCTTTTGGTTTTTAAATGTTGAATTTATTTAATTTAATTGGATTAAGGGAGCAGGTAGTGATCCATAAACACATGGGGAGTGATAGTGGAGCCTATTGCAGAAAAACTATAGGGGATAAATCAGGGTCAAAAATCAGGGTCAATACTATGACCTCCAATGAAAATCACGATTAATTGAACATTTTACCTTGATTTTGATTATCATAATCAATAATCAAACACACACCTTGATAGTTTACCAGGTTTGCACTGTGAATGTGATCTAAAGCTGGCACATTTGCTGCGGTGATATGACTAACAGATTGGTGGGATTACCTTGGGTCACTGAAACCATTTTTCACGTGATTTTCTTCTTTATGTTTGATGTTGTCTTCAGTAAAGATTAAAATTATGTCCATACAACAGAAACAGCATTTTTAACTATAATCTTCATCAAAAAGGAAAGTTCGAAGTCTATTCTTAAAAGTAGAGAGAGGGTCTGTCGCCCAAACCCACACTGGGAGCTGGTTCCACAGGTGAGGAGCATGGTAGCTTTTAGAAACGCAGGAGCGACAGGTAAGCCTGATCGGATTTGGTCTGATATGATGAGCTTGTGCACCCGACAGGAAGTTGAATATGAAAAAAAGCTTTCTCCATCTGAACGCAGGTACGAGTCATGTTCCTGATGTATATGTTTCTGCTGTCTGCTCTTCCAAACGGTGAGTCCCTCTGTAAAACCACATTATATAGGATCCATTTACTAGTTCTACACTAATAATGGATTGCATTTATATAGCACTTTTCTAGACCCTCAGAGCGCTTTACATTCACTCTCACACACTGGTGGAGGAGGCTACAGTTGTAGTCACAGCTGCCCTGGGGCAGACTGACAGAAGCGAGGCTGCCATATCGCGCCATCGGCCCCTCTGGCCAACACCAGTAGGTGAAGTGTCTTGCCCAAGGACACAACGACCAGGACAGACAGAGCTGGGGATTGAACCGGCGACCTTCCGGTTACAAGATGAGCTTCCCAATCCCCTGAACCACGGTCGCCCCGATATACATACATATAGTTTTACCTGCTGACTCAAAGATTATAAGGATAATTTACCAATCATTTATTAACTACTAAAGAGTCAGAAATGCCTTCAAAGCATGAATAAATCTTTGTGTCAGATTAGTGGTTGAGCAGAAACGTTATGTCTCCTTTAGTTTATTCATCTGTGTGTGCTGATGTGGAAAGATTTACCTTTGGTGTTTTAAATGTTACATTTATGACCTTAATTGTTTTATTTATCCTTATCCAGCGCTTCCTGCCGGCTCCATCTTCTGTCCGGACCCGGAGGCATATCACATGACTGGTGAGAACAGAAGCAAACATTATGTAATAAAATGAACGGATAGATGGATAAAAATAGACAAAAACAGGACTGGAGGCAGAATGTGTATGAGAGGGGGTCAGAGGGCGTTACAGACTCTTATTGCTGTGGGGATGAAGGAGCTCCCGAAGCACTCAGATCTACAGTACAGTGAGAGGAGCCATCTGCTGCTCCTGTGCCCACCCAGGAGGCCACGGAGAGAGGGTCTACTTTAGTCCATCGCCCCCCTCTGCCACAGTTTTAAGTGAGTCCAGCCTCCTGCTGAGCACCAGGCTGGCGTTAGGCTGTTTGTGGTCATTTGTGTCATGCATTTCTTTATAAAATAGACATTGATGGTGACATGTCTGCTTTATGATCAGTCTCGTCCTCACATGTGGACCCCTGTGCTGCATCTTTAAATGAAGTATGGACTCAGGACTTTCAGTTTTTTCCAGCTGAGTTTTGCTGAGTCTTCGGTGTTACAACATGAGACTTAATTGTAGTGATAAAGGTACGGACTCGAAGCTGCGTTGTGTAAATTTCCTAAACCTTCATGGATCTACAGCAGCAGCAGTGTTCTCGACTTGGATAGCTCAAACAACAGTCGTAGACTTTCTGTGGCGTTGTGGGCCGTTGTTGACATCGAGGTCGAGAGGCTTTGATGTTCATTGCCTCCTATGGTCTTAATCTTCACTGTACCTGCATGTGGAGACCTGCAGTCCAAATAATCTTCCACCCTGTGTGCTTCTCTGGACTCGAGTTACCTGCAAACAGGATTATCTATGATTAAATCGCTCTGCTCTCCACCTCCAAATTTACAGAAGCTCTGCAGGTTCGATCTTCTCGCGGCCTCGGCGCGTTTGTTCATTCACCTTCCGTCATCTCTTCCTGCAGATTGTCTCGGGTTGCGCTTCACCTGGATACACTTGGTCTTCGATAACTTCCCCTCCATGCTGAGCTTTGTGTCGAAGCTGCACTGTGCGACGGGGATTTGCCCACGTGACCTGGAAGATTATGGCTGCTCCTGCAGATATGTGGCAGCTGGAAACCCCGTGGATGCTCTGGACGTGTAAGTAAGCCTCAGATCGCAGCGGGACTGCGGTTACAGCAGCTGCTGAATTTAGAATACGGCAAAATTGAATTCAGAGGCTGGAGGCAGGCAGGTGTGACGCGGGCTGGGAGAGTCTTCGCTGACCACCCCTCCCATTCCCATGGAAAATATTATTCATTATGCTGGAATCCCTCACAGGAGTTACAGTACAGGAAATGTCAAAATCAAGAGACAATAGCTTTAGGGTGGACTGGAATAATAAATGAAACCATGTACTTACTGTAGTACATCTCTCAGGCTGAACACCTTAAAGGTCTGTCAAAGTCATCAAGAAGAGGAAAAAGCAACTCAGGGATGGTTGAAAATTCTTTGAGAGACTTTCCACTGTTTTCAACTGTTAAAGCTAACCTTTAGCTAAAGCTAACCTTTCTACTGCTAAAGGTTAACTTTAGCTAAAGCTTTAGCTAAAGTTAACCTTTAGCAGTAGAAAGGTTAACTTTAGCTAAAACTAACCTAGAAATCTTCAGCAAGTCAAAAACTGCAGGCTAAACTAAACACTCAGTTTTAGACACTTTTTTCCTAACCTGGATCTGTATGATGCTATATGATGCTACAGAAGCCACACCCACTTGCTGGGGCAGCCAATCAGAAGAAACGTCACTTGAAAGGAAGGGTTGGACTAAAGGAGGAGGGGCTTGTTTCTGACAGAGCATTAATCGAGTCGCTGTAGTCAGGCCCAGGGTAAATAAATAAGGATGATTATAAACTGTGAATCATGCAAAGCTGCCCTCACACAGTAAAGGAATAAAAATATGGAGATAGAAATGCATATATTGTGTCCCATTTAGGGAGGACAAAGCACTTTATTATTGTAGCTCCGCCCCTGCAACAGGGAAGGGGAGGAGCTACCAGTCAGGGAAAGGTGGATATGTTATCTACATAATAAAGTTCTGTACAAAATACTAAATTTGGTCAAATAGCTGTGAGCTCAGAGCTGAATTAATAATTGATAAATATTATGACTTTTTCTTTTTAATGTTACATTTACAGCTGAAGTCACTTTTTTTATTCATGGGTTAAAAAATTAGCTCCTTCATCTCTGTGAAGCTAATCACTGTACTTGATAAAGAACATGTAGCCTCTGTTTCTGTGCCATATCGTAGAAAACATGTTTATATGAAAATAATTATGACTATTTCTCAGATTAAAAAAAAAAAAAAAGGCAAAGACTTTTGTTTTAATCCCAGACTCGATTGCTTTGATGTACTTTTATAATAAGCCACTATATTCCTCTACGTATCTGCAAACACGAGCTGTAAGTGTATATGTGAAGAGCTTTTACTGTGAAAGGCACGTGCAGGAAGCACCCCTGCACTGAGCAGGTCGTGTTTCGCATATCGATCGGACTCTCGTCATGTTATTCATCATTTTTTTTTCCCGGTTTCCGTCTACAGGTGCTGCGAGGCTCACCGGCTGTGTTACCAGAACGCTGCCCCCTGCAGGCAGGACCTGCCGCTTGCCCCGTACAACTTCAGCTGTGCGGCAGCTGCAAACACCAGCTGTGGTGAGACTTAGTTTATTTCGGGAAATGTGCTTGTTTGCTTTCACACTGGGAACCATCACAAGACTTTCGCTGCCACCAAAAAACAAGTTTTACTCACAGTGGAACCAAAGTTGATCGTTTTCACACGAGGAGTTTGTACAAAGTGAAAAGAAGCGATACAAAAGTGACTCCTCTGTATACTGACCTGCTGCTCCGACAGAGTAACACAGCAGAGTAAATAAAGACTGTGGCACTAGTACAGTGTACCAATGTGGCTCTTTCTGTCTTGAAGATGCTGCTGATTTGTGCCAGCAGAGGTTCTGTGAATGTGACCGGGCCGCCATCGACTGCATGACTCGGAGCCCGTACAACTCATCGCTGAGAGGCCTTGCCGACACGTCCTGCTCAGCTACAAATCAAACAGGTGAGACGAAGCGAGTCGTCTCCAGAGCCAACATCTGGCTACGGTCTTTGGTTCCTTTGGATGTTTAGTCACTTCACTCATGTTTTATAAGGAACATATATATTCAGCTTCCTTCAGTGTTCCTGAAACCACTGCGTCTTTCTGTACATCTGCATTACAAGCAAGAAAATAAATCTGGCTCTCTTTAATGGCACCAGTTTGGCAAAATGGGACCAAATCCATGACTCGTGCTGTGGAGGACGAGGAGGAGAGTGGATCAAAATCACTGATCAATACAGGTAATATAAAAATAACTCCAAAGACATAAATCGTGTGCAAACGGGTCTTCGGTGCAATAAAATACTGAACACACTGTGGGTGAAGCCTCAGTTTGAGTCTGTAAAAGGAGAGAAAAGAAGAATCGATGTCCTGCAAACTCACTGTGGAAGTTTGAGCCACTTAAAGTAAATCGAGGTACCGCAGACAGTTTTCAGTCACCAGGCGAGCAAAGAAACATGGATGCATCCAATTAAGTCTGGTGTTCTTTTAGCAGCAGCTCCTCTGCACACCCACACAGTTAGACCCAGACTCACAATCCGGCTGTTTGACTCGTTTCCAGCTGAGTTATTTTTACATTTAAAACCTGGTTTAGGTTTGTGTTTAACACTTTTCTTTGGACGTAACCTCAGACCTTTTTTATTATTATTATTTCAAATTTCAGACAGTTCTTTAACATCCATCAAACTTCCAGACTTGGTTTAAAATCAGCTCGATCTGAATCCTAAAACTGCAGTCGGAGATGGTCGTAACATGACGGCAGTGAAGCCGGGCTCTGTGCTTCAGTGCGCCTTCACATAAGTCCTGATATGAAATGGTGAAGCCTGACTGTAAAAACAACAACTGTTGCAAGTAAAAAGAACAGTAAAATAAATATTTTAATTCTGAGTGTGCTGCTGTTTATTTGGTGCAGGTTTTCCCACAGCGGTCATGTCAGTGGGGGGATCTGTGAGTGTCACATTCCCGTGGCAGCGTGCTCGGTGTTGCTCAGATTTGAAGTTTATTTTTTCTCTGTAGAAAGAAGTTTTCTTCCCACACAGTGAACAGCGGACGCTAATGTTTTTGTCACTTTTTACAGAATCAAACTCAAAGTAATGTGATTACTTCCACGCTTTAAAGGCTGCACGGTCGCACTGTCTCCTGCACTCCATGTTATCCATTGTTGATCTGCACACAGCTGTTGAGACACTCTCACAAACAAAATCACGGTTTAGTAACACAGTAACACAGCGTGCTTACAGGAAAGTAACAGTAATCTAATTACTTTTTTTGCAATAGTAATCCCTTACAGTAACGTGTTACTATCTCTGTGACATTCACGTAGGCCTTCTTGCTTTTTCTGTTTCTGATCTTTGATCAAATTAAAGGTAAGATTGTTGTTTTTTTTAATCTTGTTTACAAACTTGTTTCATTCTGGTTTTACTGGTTTTATTTGCTAAGACGTGGTTATGTGCTGGGTTTCAGAGGGTTCTTTGTTTTCAGAAACATCCAGGCTTAGTGTGGCACAGGTTCCTTTAGACTGATTTCTTCGTTTCCGACAGATTTTTAATTTGGTCTCAGAACATTTTGGAGAACTTTTCCACTCGTCTGTGGATCTTTGGTCTCAGTGTTTCTGTCTCTTGACGTAAAGCCGGATGAATCGTTGATGCTGTGAGGAGAAAAACTTCTGCTCTCTTTGAAGATCTTTCTTCATGACTCTTGCTGTACGTTCGGCCTCGCTGTCCTTCTGAGCGAGGCTGATTTAATAAATTTTAGCAGTGAGCTCATTAGTCCTGCCTTTCTCCGGTGTGTCTGACAGAGCTCGCAGCTAACAGCAGTCTGAGTTTCTCATTAGTTTGACCGTGTGTTTCAGAGCTGCTCGGCGGCGGCGAGGACACAGGTGAAGTCTTCAGAGCAGCAGGTAAGTCTGTGTGAAACTCCGAGGGCGCCACGATCAGCGTTCCTGAGACGGCGCGTCACTTTCTGAGCGGGTCGGCGATGTCGCATCACAGGAAACGATTGATTGGGCAGAAACGCAGACGGCTGAGTCACACCTCAGCCAATTAAAACAAGGACCTCTGGATGTTTAAGCTGCAGCTTCCTGCCCACATCCAGCTAAAAGAGAAAGAAACCAGTGATTGTTCAGAGCTCCTTTCATCCATGTGTCCAGATAGAGATGTCACGTCGAGCCGAGCTGCTCGCCGCCTCAGAATCAGGAGAATCTGAAGTGAAGGATGTTATTAAAGCAGAAAAGTTCAGAGGGAGGTTTTTTAAACCTGAGGACGGCCTGTCACGCACGACAACCTGAGATCTGTCTGAAACTGAACCCACTCTGTTTAAACTCGAGATCAGCTCGAATTCACTTTATCTGTTACTTTGATATCAGGAGCACGTCGAGGTCCATACGTTACACATATCTGTAAAGCAGTGCTTACATCCTTGGACTAAGTTTCTGATCACAAAGGACATAAAAGAGAGAATATTAGGCTCACGTTGATCCTGCCGACACAAATCCAAACTGAGATATGAAGCATCACGTTAGCGCATTATCGTGTTTCCTTCTCTCTGCTTTGTTCGAGTGTATATTTCTGTGGAGAGGCCGAACTTCTCCTGTGTCTCTGCAGATGTTCTCCCAGCAGAAAACACCTCAGAAAGCTTTAATTTCTCCAGCTCGTCCTTCCTGCCAGCAGGTAAAACTCTTGTTTTTATGCTTCGCTTTACTTTCTGCAACTCTGCACGTCTCCAGAGCAGAACAAAGTGAAATTTCAGGTTTTGGAGAGTTTTAAGATGCTTCCAGCCTTGAACTCGGAGTGCTCATAAAATGGACCTCGCTCCACTTCCTTTAAGAATTAATGGAGTGGAAACAGATTTCCTTTTCTGATAAAACAGATTTAACAATGTAGTCTGATGGTAGCTTTTACTCACTGCCATTTAAAGGTCAGACGTCTACAATCAGAAGCTCCTAATGAAGCTTGTTTTGGTCTTTAACCAAGAGGAAAACAACAATTTTGATCATGAAATCAGATCATGATCTGATGTGTGAGAACTAATCGCCTAAAAATAGCACGAACACTGTTACGAGGTTCAGTTCAGTCGCTCCGGTTAGTAAAGCGTGAAGCTTAGCAGGCAGCTACATGCAGCCATCAGTCTGTCGTTCTAAGACAGACACAGAAAACATTAAGCCTTGATATTCTTTATTTCAGTGATGGCGCCAGCCTTCGTTGCCTTTTGGTGTCCACACTTTTAAAGCCTCAGTGTGAACATTTCATTCAGTAAATAAAGAAAAATGAGACTCACACATTAAATAAAGCCAGAAAACATCTACCTGCATCCCAGACAGATGAATGAACTGTGACTGTCTCCTCAGCAGGGATGGACCCACCAACAACAGGCAGGGTGGATAACCAGAGTGACACCGAGGCCATGGAGTACAACCTCAGCACTCCAGCGCCGCTGATGCCTGCTGGTATGACCTCTAATTGGCTCTCGGGCCACAGGTTTAACTCGGCACCATCTGCGTGTTATCCTAATATTTCTCATCTTTCCAGAGGAGCTTGAGGAAGGTGCAGGAGGTGCAGCAGAGGTGGAAGAGGCAGAGATGACACACCTGAGTTATATCTCTAAAGGTAACAGTTACCTCGGTTACCTCACCGTCTCCCCTCCATCCTCTCTCTAGTACTTTTCTAGCAGATTACATTTGCTAGATGCTGACCGGCGGACAGCTTCCAAAACAGCAGAAATAATTTCCCCGCTGTTCGACTCCTGCTGCTCGATGACTCACTTGGCTCAGACGTTTCCTGCTTTTACAGATCTGAATGAGAGCGCCGCAGAGGAAGCACTCGAGCAGGAAGAGATAAATGGGGATCAGATGACCCACAATCCTCCAGCAATCAGCCGGGGTGAGCCAGAAACACTCG